GGCGGGGAAAGAAAGGAGTATTTCATAGCGCCGTAAAACACGCGCGAGGCGCAGTCGACAGTAAAGTGAAGACGTGTCAGGCCGCGCGCGCCGCCCGGGGGACACACCGGGGACACTCGGCAAACACTCGCACTCGCGCCGGTGCTCAACCTGCCCTTCCTTGCCCTACGACGCGCGCCGCACCCGCCGCACCTCCACACTGTCCCGCCAGTCGGCTCGCTATAATAATAATTGCCGGTTGTGGAGGTGGAGGGGGCGGTGACGACAGGACAGATCCTCGGCGGCCATTGTGTTCCGGGGGCCAGGACCTCCACCGCCACCGCCACCGCCACCGCAGCAGCAGCAGCTTCCTCTTTGTGCCATCATCGCGGCGCCCGAAAGATGGAAGAAGGAGGAGAATATCGAGCAATAATATTGGGCAAGGCGGTGGGCGATCACTATCGGCCCGTCCTCGGCGTCCTCCCCGCGGTATAAAGGGCGCTGCGGCGGTGGGAGGGGCCATTTCCAGTTCGGCGTCCCGGCAGTGAGCGGGTCAGGACACTGCCCACCCCCTGCACCGCGACGGCGCTGCACCAACATGGCGTCTGCTCTGTGTCTGGTGAGTCCTGCGGTAGCCGCCAGCGCAGTAAAGGGGATCTGCTTCCATAAAGGAGAATGAGAACCAAAACTTTATTTTTTTAGTTGCATAAGTTTGTAATTCTTTCAAGTTTGTTCTTTAATGATTTTAATTTTTGTGTAGAGGATACATATTTTCCCCCAAAATTACCAATCCACTGTTTTCCACGATTCGCTTCTTAGCCCCCCCCCCCTTTTCCCTCTTTGCTCCATGCCCAGGGTTTGCGTACTAGTTATTATAATTATACCTCCACGCATTACGCGTGTAAGTGCGATCTCGCAGTGCAAGGTCGCGCATTTCCGGTGGCGTGGCGTCCACCGTATTTCCGGCGGCTAGGCTGCGACCTCACACACAGCAAGCCCGCTCCAGCGTCAGTCGAGTCCGGAAAATTATTACAAAATGTATAAATTAGACGAAAAAGACTAATCAATGGGAGCAAGTAGTTTAGTAATCACGTTAGCCACGGTGTCTCCCGTTTAATCCGCTTCAAGCCAACGTCAGCGTCACTCTCTTTTCCCGCAGGCGACGGTGGTGGCGGTGCTCTGCGCGACTGCGTTGCCCGGAGAGACCAAGCAGACCCTGACGCTGGACGAGCAGGAGCGCGGGCTCAGCGCAGGGGCCTCAGCCAAGGGGGCCGGCAGCTGGGGCGCGCGCGTGCAGGAGCGTGACAAGAAGCAGGCCGGTAAGCGGGGCAGCGGAGAGGAGCAGAGGGCAGCGGAGGGCAGCGGAGAACAGCGCCGCGGAGCGCCCGCCCATTAGCGGGCCAGGGGGATGGAGCTGGAGGGTACAATTTGGCGAATTGGTGATTTGGCACAGCAGACCCTGACCTCATGACCTCGAGCACCCCAGGCACTGGGGATGAAAAATAAAATAAAGGAGATGACAAAAAACGCCAGTTTTTTTATCACTCGTATGGAATTTTCATCCAGGCTTCGGACCCATAAAGACGCTTACTGTACTTGATTACGAACGGCATGAATAATTCTCTTCGGAAAACAGGCCAGTTACAAAGCAAATTTAAGGTCCGAAGGGAGGACGCAGCGTGCTGCTTTAATGGGATCAGCCGCTAAACTAATCCGAGTCTGCCTCATTTCAGGTCTCCCTCTGACGGGCAGCGCCGCCAACGTGGTTCGGTACCCGACAACCTCCTCCAGTGCTACGTTCACTGGCGTCAACCAGCAGCAACAACTCCAGCAGCTGCAGCAGCAGCAGCTACAGCAGCAACAGCTACAGCAACAGCAACAGCTTCAGCAACAGCAGCAGCTTCAGCAGCAGCAGCAGATTCAGCAACAACAGCAGGTTCAGCAACAGCAGGCGGCGGGATTTGCTGGGCAAGGCCAGGGTGTCAACGCCGCACAGCAGGGGCAGCTTGGGGTTGGGGGCCAGGGCCAGGCCCTCGGGCAGGCCTTCAACCCTGTGTACAACCCGAACTACCCGTCCGCCAACGCCATCTTCCCCGTGCAGAACAACAACCCGGCGGGTAGCTACGCTGCTCTGGCCGGAGGTGCGGGAAGCTTTCCCAACCTGCAAACGACAGGCCCGGGGAGCTACTACGGTCAGGGATTCCAGATCAACCCCGCGTACCAGACACCCGGCCAGCTGCAGCTGCAGGCTCAGCCACAGGGCTACATCGGTCAAAATGCAGCCTACTCGAACATCGGGTACCCGGCGGGCCCCGCGGCAGTGCAGGTCAACGGCTACCAGGCGGCGTCGCCCGTGCCGGTCAGTGGTCCCGGCGTCCCGGCGTTCCCCGGCGCAGGCCCGACGCCTTTTGGCGTCCCCAATCCCTACGCGCAGGCGGCGGGCACAGCGCCGTACTTCCCCGGGGCCGTGACGACGCACGGTGTGTACCCGGTGGCTTACGGCACCTACACGTCGGTGTACCACCCGGCCGCGCCCAGCGCCGCGGCCGCCGCCACCAACCCGGCGTACGGCCCCACCGTGGTCCACACGGCCGGACCTGCCACCGCCTACCAGCAGGCCGCCGTGTATCCGGGCAACAACAACGGGCCGTACGCGAGCACGGGCAACGCCGCGCAGTACCCTGGCCAGGGCCTCGGACAGGGCCTCGGACAGAGCCTCGGGCAGGGCGGCGTGCCCTACACCTCCTACGGCGCGGGCCTCGCAGCGGGCCGGCTGCAGCAGCAGCAGCCTGGGTACAGCTACCAGGCCGTGCGGGGCTTCGCCAACTTCCCGTCGTATCCCGGCGGGCCGGCGGGAGTTGGGAGCCTGAACGCTGGCCTACAGCAGCAGCAGCAACAGCAACAGCAGCAGCAGCAGCAGGGCGCCGTCCAGGGCCTCGCGCAGACCGTCCAGGCCGCACCTACCTTCACGCCGTCGACGTTTGGCGTGACGTCGGGTGCGCAGGCGCTGCTCAGCCAGGCCCTGGCGCAGGCGGGCGCCGCCCCGAAGGACCCCCAACGGACGCAGCAACGAAGTGACGAGAAGCGGGACGCCGATGAGGACGCCGACGAAGATCTGAGCCGCTAGCCCACGTCTCCGTCTAACCTGCCACCAGCAGCATGCGCGTGTACTTGATTCAGACTGACGTGATGATGTTTTCGATAAAAGAGGGGAAAAAATGAGTTGTGTATCTCTCAATTTTCTGTTCCTGTGTTCCTGTGTCCCTCACCTACGCCGGCGGGCAGGCAACCCATCCGGCTCGCGCGCCACAACGGCCGCCTCGCCACTACGGGTGCGGTCCCTCGTTCCGGCCGAGAGGAACCCCCGGCGCGGCCGCTGCTACGAGGACGGCGCGGCTGGACGCTCTCCATCCCGGCGGAGGCGCCTCGACGCAGGAGTTTTTATTTGCCCTCACGGCAACACTTGCATAGTTGGAAACATTTTATTTTGTAAGGAACACGGGGAGGGGCGCTATGCGACTAAACAGGGCTGCCTGGTCGTGGTGCCTGGGAGAATATGAGAAGGCTCTAACCGCTAACTGCGCGCGACTCGGTATTATTTGATAGACGTGCTGAACTGTTGCATATTTCTTTGATTGGACAATACGTTAGCACAGCATACATTTTTTCGCCATATTAAAAGAATAATTTCAACGTTGCCCAATTCCCGTTGTAATTTATAATGACTATCTCGTCCTTACCTTTAAGGAAATCTCTATTGCTGACAACCGTTCTATAAGACTCAGGAAGGAAGTTAAGCGGGGGTGGGAGAGGAATGGAGAGATTGGGGTGAAGATGAGGGACTTGGTCACGTTCGTCGTTTTGCTTTATGCGGTGTTGGCAAGGCGAGGTTTGTCCGTCCGAGTGAAAGGGGTTGGCAGCGAGGTGCAGCACGGCCAGACCGGAGAGAGGAATGAAGCGGGAGAGAGACGCATCGCGGTGGTCAAGAGAAGGAAAAAGACCTTTAGTTGGCTGGAAACTTACTTGCTCACAGAGCTCTGGGGACCTACCACCCTTTCCTCTTTTCGCCACTACACAGAGCCGCCACCCGGGAAAAGCTCAAGGGCGTTAGTGTGTGCGCGTTTGTGTGAGTGTGTGCAAGTTTGCGCTCATGCGCATGTGTTTCTTTGTGCTCCTAGCAGAGTTTATTGAAGAAAAACGTTTTAACTTACAAAAGGTATGCGTTTAATAGTAACATCGAAGTACATGTATGTTTGTCTCCCAAACACTGGAGTGTTTGAACCAAAATCGAAGAAATCGAAAAAGGAGCCGCGGTTCATATAGCGGAAAGGTGGATTCAGAGTTCCCTAAACGCGAACGTGATTCTCACGCCAGGAGTGATGAAAGTCGCCTCCCGATCGGCTTCGTGAAAAGGTGAAAATCGCGCCTGGCGTGAAAATAACTTGTGTTCCGTGAACTCTGCAACCACACGAAAATGTCTTTCGAAGAGGTTGTTGTTATGGGACAAAACCACCCATTAACTAGGCCCATCTTGCTTGGCAAGCAGTGCAGCGCTATTGGCCGAGTGGCCTACCCTACAGAAGGCAGGCGTCCAGCTCTATACTGAAACAAGATTATTTAAATATGGTACCATTGTATTATAGTCTTCTCCATATTTTTCTTTTATTATTCATCATTGTTCAAAACAGTAAACGAGAAAACTCTTTTGAAAGGACGACAGCGAGAACCTATTTAAGTCTTGTAAAAAATATGTTTTCAGACTAAAACGCCTGTTGGTTAGGCAAATCTTGCCATGCAGCGCAGCACAGTTGGCCGGGTGGCCTACCCAACGGTCGGCAGGCGTCCGGCTCTAAGCTCAAAGGAGGTTTTTAGACGGTGATAGCAGAGGTATTTATTTTACTTCATACTTTCTTTTATAATTGGAAACTCTTTCAGAAAAAAGGGACGCTATTAAGAAGCTCGTTCACAAAGACACCCCAGTTTCAATGATTACGCTCTTTTCTTTATAAAAGCAATATTGCCGAGACCATTACTAAATACTGCTGCTTAATTAAGCTACACGGGAACTGCCAAGGGTTCGGGGCTGGAGCAGGCTGGGGCAGGGGGCACGCATTTCAGTTAGCTACGGTTATGGCGCTGTGCAGGCCGCCCTGCTAGTGGCGCCGGCGTGCAGCGCGGCGCGCCGTGGCGTCACGTCGTGGCCGTGCCACTAGAAACTCATGTATACTGCATGGAGGCGCCCAGAGGGGCCACGCACCGCGCTCGAAGTAAAAACCTAGGTGGGAAAGAAAAAAACCGAGTGAGGGGAGGGGGGGAGGGGGGGTCCAACGCCACCGGCTGGTGACCCGCTACTCTAAAGGAGGCGTGAAGCGGGGCGGGAGGATGACCGCGTCCACTTAGCTCGTCTGTATGTACCGTGCGACGCCCGGCCGCCCCCCGCCCTGCTTTCGTAACACCCAGCACCGGGCTGTACACACTCACTCGCATGCTTTTCTTTCACATGTTTGATTTTGCAATGTTTCGTGTCGATATTTTATAACTTCATCAAATAAATGCGTGTGTGAAAAAAATCGAAGTTATACTCCTTACTTATATCTGAAGTAGTCTAACTGCTGGCAGTAAAGACTTGCAAGTAACTCAGTACAGTGTGTTTCTTGTTCATGTTTATCAGCAAATTTATAAATATTTCCAAGTGTTGGACTGGAAAGTTGAAAACGTCCGAGTGCTCTCAAACCATTTTTCTTTTCAACTAAAGTTACGGAATATGTAAAATAGCGGACGCAATTATTGATTATTGTTTTGTCTTACACTCGATGCAAGTCTCGCGCTAGTCGAAGGCGTTGCGTCTGACTAGTGGCGGTGCACTACGCTACACTATACTGCGGCGGCTCGGATGGATTGGGCGCCGCTAGACTCGGAGTGGCTGCCAAGGACAAGGCCGCCCGGCCCCGGGCAGCTTGCACTCCGCCCGTAGGGTCGGCATTACTCTTACTGCCGGTACGCTGTCCGAAAACATCCGAGACAAAACCTTGCTCGGAGCGGTCGCAGTAGTTGCGGGGTATTGAGTATTCTAGTCTTCCAACGGGGAATGTGGTCGGGCTCGGCCAGCCTGGACGGCCGTGCTGGAACCAGCGCAATTAGTTAGTTTGCTTCTCTTTCAATGCAGTTTCAAAAAGACAGCAATAGTAACAGCACAGACAGTTGGCTTGTCCGGACGAGCAGGGAAACGTTGTGGTGTCCTTTTAGATTTTAGAATTTTTACTAGCTACTACTACATGAATCCGAGGTCAGTTTGACACCATAATTTCGTGCTCAAAATAATGTTCTGTATACGAAAGTGCAAACTTTGCACATTTGATTTACCAGTTGGAGGGAGAGAGATAGACGCAATAGAGAGATGGGGGGGGGGGCGAATGAAGCGAGCCCTGACCCGCACTCCTCCCACTATGGAGCTCGTCGGAGCGAACAAAGGCTCTTAACTGTAAGGCTCCAATCCACCTATCCGAGCAAACCTAGTGTCGCATCGTCCAATTAGCAGACTAATGATATCCGCTGATAGGTGAGAAATGTCTCTTTTCTCTGGTTTCTACCTCCCCAACTCCAACGAAGGTGAAAAATCAAAAAGTGGACGCAAGAATAAGGTGAAATGCAAGGCAGCCTGTTCTAGATTTCTGATAGATTCCGGATAATTTGAGGAAGTTATGGCATCCTTTGCGGAAGCTGGCGGGTGGCAGCAGGAGTGGCTCTGGAAGGTGCACCATATTTTTCTGCAGTGCTGCGACCCAGAGTCGGAAGAATAGTTGCAGTTGCGTCTCCACGAAGAGATATTTTCACTCCTTGTCCGTCCTTCCCCTTTATTTTCTACTGTGGGTGGGGCACTGTCTGCACTGCACAGATCTCCAAGGACGCGCGTTTTTTTCTTCCTCTGTGAAACGAAAGAGCATAGACAATTGTGTACCATCCCAAGCAGTAGAATCACACATTCTTACGAAAATCCTGACCAAGGGCAGACCCCAAAGGGAAGCCCCTAGGAGGACTGTGTGACGACCCATAAAACATCCCATGAGCTCGCTGACGACCGCGGTGTGAACATGACTCTTGATGATTGACGATGTTTCGGCGTATCGGAGCCACGCCGCGCCACGCCGCGCGCTCCGCCACTCTCCACTACGCCCTGGGGCCAAGCAGCCCAAGTTGGCCCAAGTTCTAGTCGGTGAAGGTCAGCTGGAAAGTGCTCACCCTGAAGGTAAAAGATGGTCCTTTATTGGAGGAGGGGGGCGGGCGGGAAACCAAG